TGATGTTCTCTGTTCTGTCCCTGGATCTCTGACTTTCATTCCATGCAAGGGGGCTGGAAGACTGACTTTTCTGTCAGGGATCTTTTTTTTTTCTGAGCCAGGGTTTCTCTGTATTGATCTGTAGCCTGTCCTGGAGCTTGCTCTGTAGACCAGGCTGGCTTCAAACTCACAGAGATCCACCTGCCTCTGCCTCCCGAGTGCTGGGTTTATTAAAGGCGTGTGCCACTGATGCCTGGTACTGTCAGGGATCTTAATCTTCTATTCCAGCTCTGAATTCTCTTAACCTCAGGATTTGAATAACTACCCAATTGCTTACCAGGACACTTTCTCCTTCAGAAGGTCTCCCAAATAAAAGGACTCCTATAAGCCAAAATTGCACCAATCCATCTTTTCTTTATATATATTTCTCCACTTATTTGTTTAGTGACTGGCATTGTCAGCTATCTGGTCATTTAATACCAGAAATACAGCATCAGCTTGATTCTTTCTGCTCACTTCTCATATTTAATTATCCCCAGGTCATATTAATTTTCAACTGGATTATTATAGTAGGCTTTTAGCTGGATTCTCTGGGCCTTGATCATCCAACAATAGAGTATATATTGCAAGTAAGCATTCCTGTTTTGCACATGTATTTCTCCAATGCCAAACATAGCAACTGGCACATACTAGATACCCAATATTAATATTTATTGATTGAATGTACAAGAAGCAGGCCACAGTTCAGCCTCAACTCCACAATGAGCTCCTCTCAGCCGCCTTCCCTGTGCCTAGATTCCTGAGGAAGTTAGGTTTTTGTGTATTTTGTTCCTTCTGCCTACACATGCTAGGCTCATACCTACTCATCCTTCAAGACTTGGCCCCTCTTTGTCACCCACAGGAACCTTTGTGTTTCCCAGGCTTGGTTAAACACATGTGCTTTAGGGTCCTAGCTTTTAAAGTAACACTTACCTTGTTTCTTGTATTTTCTGATTACATCAATAACAATTTCTTAGAGGGATTAGACAGAGTTTCTCTGTGTAGCTCTGGCTATCCTGGGCCAGGCTGGCTTCAAACTCAGGAGACTTGCCTGCCTCTGCCTCCTGAGTGCTAGAATTAAAGGCATGCACCACCACCACCTGGCATATTGCACTCCACTCATCAAGAATGCTCTACAATGTTTCTTAAGTTAACAGAAACATCTCAGTAGTAACTGAGACCATGTTTTGTTTTTGTCAAGCAATCTATAGCACTTCAGTGATATAGTGATATTTGGTGATTTAAACCTGATTGATGGGGGCTGGAGAGATGGTGCTTAACTCTCAGCAGTTAAGAGCACTAGCCTCTCTTCTAGTGGACCCAGATTCAATTCCCAGAGCCCACATGGTGGCTTATGATCATCTATAACTCGAGGTCTAGGGGATCTGATGTCTTCTTCTGGCCTCTTCCAGTACCAGGCATGCATACTCAGAGACATATATGCAGGCAAAACACCCATACACATTTAAAAGAAAGGAATAGGGGCTGGAGAGATGGCTCAGAGGTTAAGAGCACGGACTGCTCTTCCAGAGGTCCTGAGTTCAATTCCTAGCAACCACATGGTGGCTTACAACCATCCATTAGGAGATCTGGTGCCCTCTTCTGGTGTGCAGATATACATGGAAGCAGAATGTTGTATACATAATAAATAAATATAATAAAAAAAGACAGGAATAAAGAGAGACAGGGAGAGGGAGGGAGGGAGGGAGGAAAAAAATTAGCCAGATGTGGTACTCCATATCTTTCATCCAGTCAAGGTCAGTCTGGCCTACAGAGAGAGTTCCAGGACAGCCAGTGCTATATAGAGAAACCCAGTCTTTAAAAAAATCCATAAAACAAAGAAAGAAAGAGCCGGGCAGTGGTGGCACATGCCTTTAATCCCAGCACTAGGGAAGCAGAGGCAGGTGGATCTCTGTGAGTTCTAGGCCAGCCTGGTCTACAAAGCTACACAAAGAAACCCTGTCTAGAAAACAAAAACAAAAAAGAAAACTGCTTGTTGAGTTCAGTGTAATGTTCATTTTATTCTTTATGTATCATTTTTCATGTATGAAGTAGCCTTTTCCCTACTATAATTAAAAATATTAAGGAATAATTTCCTGTGCCAGTTCCTATGTTAGATTTTTGGAGCCACAAGGACATATAAACTCAGAGTCTACCCTCATGTTACTTACAAAAAGATGAAAACCTTGTGCACATGATAGAGGATGGACTTTTGTTGTCTGCAGTGCTGTAGATAAGACCAGGGTTTGCCCAAGCTAGGCAAGGTTTGCACCACTGGGTTCTATCTCTAGCCCTTATTCCCCCTCCTCCTCCTCTTCTCCTCCTTTTCTCTTTTTCTCCCTCTTCCTCTTCCATTTCCTCCTCCTCCTTCTCAAGACAGGGTTTCTCTGTGTAGTCCTGGCTATCCTCTGTAGATCAGGCTGGCCTCAAACTCAGAGATCCATCTGCCTCTTCCTCAGGAGTGCTGGGATTAAGGCGTGTGCCATCACTGCCTGGATTTTTTTTTTAGGACAGGTCTCAATCTGCAGTTATGCTGGCTTGGACCCTGAAAACATACTCTTGACTCAGCCTCCTGGATGCTAGGATTACAAGTATGAGACACCACACGTAACCAGCCTCTGGTCCTTTGAAACAGGATGCCATGATGTACCTCAGGCTGACCTTGAATTTGAAATTATCCATTTCCCAGCTCCTGAGATTCCAGGAATGCTAAACTGACATAGTGTATTTTTAAAAACATGCCACATATGTTCTATGCTTCTTCTCAGAGGATATACTGAGAAGTCAAGCAGGCTTTGAAGCGTCCTTTGGGTGGACAGAAAAGCAGCTGCTCAGAGTCATTTAAAAACAGTGCATACTTTTGTGAAACGGTTCTTTTCCACTGTAGCACAGGGTTCCTCAGAGCAGGCTGGGAGGTGGAAGAGCACACTGGGACTAGTTAATGAAGACCCTGCACTGGCACACTAAGCTATCTACACTTCAAGTTCCTGTAGATGGAGCAGCCACCAAGGTTCCCAGGAGATCTGACCAGGGCTTGCACAAGCTAGGCCAGCCCTGGCATCTGGATCCATCCTTTGATGACAGATACTGACAGGCATTGACCTATTTGCTGCCCCTTCACCTGGCTTCTCACTCCAGGGCCTTCAGCTCTCAGCTTCTGCACAGAAGCTGGGAAACAGGGAGATAAGAACCCGTCCATTTCAGAACGGAGGTACTGAAAGGGTGAATTGCCTAACACCACCCATTGTATAGGAGCAGAGCTGGAACCAGAGCCCAGCTGTCCCTCTCCCTGCTCCAAAGGGATGCTTGGACAGGGAGCTGAAGTGACACTTAGGCAGAGGAGCAAGTTCAAACATCTGCAGAAGTCCCAGTGTGAACATGCACATCACAGAGAAACACATGGGTCCAAAAAAGAGGAGCAGCTGGACATGCTTGATGTCCATGTGGGGGGCGGTGTGCTTCATAGAGAAGTGTGGAGCAGCTGTAGGAGGGTGAAACAGAGCTGGGGAGACAGGAAGGGAATGAGAGAGGGAACAAAGCCCACAGTATGGTTCTCGAAACTACCTCTAGTGAGGCAGTATGTGTCAATGGCTTGGTTTGGTTAGCCATGTGGCTTTTGTGTGCAGTGCAACGTTGGCAGGGAGCAGGCAGCCTGGGTCTGGATCCCTGTTTTCTGTCTCCCTTCTCCTTTTGCTCTAGGGGACCAAGCTCTTGGAAGCCAGAATGTGTAGGTCCTAGATTCTTCCCTCCTATCCTCCCCCAGACATAAATCACAAATGATTTCATTAAATGCACCTCCTGCTGGGGATGTTGGCTCATAATTCCTCTCTGATTAACCCCCACTACCCCGGCAAGTTTATAGGCCAAGAGAGGGAGGGGAAGAAGGGAGGGGAAAAGGAGGGATGGGGGAATCCCGGGCGGGTGATGAATGCCTCTGTCAGCCCAGCTCGTATTTATTAATAGTCTTAATACGGGAAGCAATAAAGGAAGAGAGGGATTCTATTAATTAAATCATTGTTATAATTAACTTTCATTAAAGGAGGATCAATAAAGAGAGGTTGAGATGGAGAAAGGAAAGAGATCCATTATCTCCAATTTCCTTGGAAAGGATTCAGGGAATGAGATGTGGTTGCTAGGAGACAGAGACGTGAGAGAAGGAAGGAAGGATGTAAGATGTCATCCAGGTGCTGTCGGAAGGGGGTGGATGAAGACAGGGAATTGTGGGGGTGGTCCAATGAGTGAACCTGAAGGTGCTGAGAAGGGGTGCTTTGGGGTCAGAGTGAGGGAGCTGTAGGTTATGTCTGTCAGGGCACACAGAGCCTTGGGGAGCACACAGATCCTTAATATTTGCTTTATGATGCTGTGGATGTTTGTGTCACCCAGACAGCTGGTTGGGGTAGATGAATGTGTTGCTGTGATTATACAGTCAAAGAGTGCTTGGGGGTATGTGAAGATGGAACATAAGGTGGGTAGGGATGATAAAATCCTGACACTTGGCAGAAGCAGGAGCTTAGGGTACACCTTACTCAAAGGTGTACACTTGACGGGAGTAACACCTGTCTACTGGCCCAGGGTGTAGCAAAGGTGATCACAGAGGATGCAAGCATGAACAGTGGAAACACGGCCTCTTTCCTGCATATCTCTTCCCTTCCCATCCCACCAGATGCTCTCTTCGTAAAGTGTGCTCCAGGCCAGACCCCACTGAGACATTGATGCCCCCCACGTGGACATCAGGCATGTCCAGCTGCTCCTCCTTTTGGACCCATGTGTTTCTTTCTCTGTGATGTGCATGTCCACACTGGGACTTCTGCAGATGTTTGAACTTGCTCCTCTGCCTACGTCACACTTGAGCTCCCTGTCCAGAAGGCCCAGTAAGAAGGTACCGACCTATCATCCCCCCTCCCTCCCTTCCACCAGTGTTGATCCTGATGTTCCTCTTTTTTGTAATAATGCTTCTTGACCAGAACACACTATGACAACAGTGACACGTATCATATAAATATATTTGTCCAAACTACAGGTGAGAGGACAATTTAAGGGAGAAGGGGGAGTTCTTATTGCTGTGGGGGCCTGCAGAAGGTGAGGGTTTGGGAAATGGGGGTACCTGGGATCCCTTGTCCCCCCATCCCTCACAAAAGGCACAAATACATTTTCTTTTCCATTTGAGGACTTGGGTGTGGGGTGGCATTAAGAGGGTATAGGAATCCATAAAAATACAAAAGAAACTTCCAAACTTATGACCTAAGGCTATGGGAACGCTGGGGTGGGTGTGAAAAGCAGTGGGTAACAGAAAGAACTAGTGAAGCCAAGAACTGAAAAAGACCCGATGAGGTCATGCTGCTGCCTCCATGCAGGCCCGGGGGGGCGGGGGGGAGGACTCAGTAAACAAACAAATTCTGACTAAGAGAGGGTGGGTGCCCCAGGAGTTGGCTTTGGGGCATCAGAAGGGAGTGTTGTGTGTGGTATGCAGCTATGTACTTGAGCTAGCAGTGGATAATTCTGTTCCCATAAGGGAAAGCCCCCTTCATCTTGTTTCCTCCAAACTGTCTTCCAGAGTAAACTCAGCCACTCCTTCCAAGACAGATCCCTGCCTGGGACAGAGGAGTCAGCATAGAGGATGGGGTTATAAAGCGTGGGACGTAGGCATGGTTTGTAGGAGCAGAACATTACAGAGCCCAGTGTGATGGAAAATAGGCACGAGCCCAAACGTACATAAGTGTGTGTGTGTGTGTGTGTGTGTGTGTGTGTGTGTGTGTGTATACATACATACTAGGGAGGAGTGATATCACTCAAAGGTGAAAGGGTCCTGGGTGCTGAAAAAGAAATGTCCATCCATGTGGTCTTCCAGGGCATCCTTGTCACTCTCAGCAGGAAAGCGCTCCTTACAGATAGTACATTCCTTCCATGGAGGGGTGGCAGAGACCCCAGTGCTGGCCTCTGACAGGGAACTGACTGCAAAGCCACTAAAGAGAGAGCAGGAAAATTTGAGAGGGTCAGGGTGCTCTGGTGCCTTTATTTTTATCTTTGATATAGGGCCTCAAACTTGTCATGTAGCAGAGGGTGACTCCTGAATTCCTGATTCTCCTCCCTTTCCTTCCCAAGGGCTCATATTTCAGGCAGGCACCACAATGCCCAACTTCTGTTGCCTTCTTGATCTGGGGAATCTCAGG